ATTGTTCCTTTAATATTAATGTTTTTCATGAATGGGAGAGTACATGCTTGATGAACTGAATCTTTTATGAATATTTTTGTCCTTGTTTATGATTGTTGTTACAAGTTCAAAACCTAAAAAAATTGCGTTCATTGGAAAATTTTTAGCAGCATTCTTCTCCAAAACTTTCTTAAACATCCATCAAACAACTCATAATACAAACCACTCTTAGCCCACTCTTCAATAAAGAGTGCATCAATAACCAATTGAAGTTTTACATCTTGAATACTGGTTTTGATGATATGAACTATGTAAACCCTATTTTATTCCCCTTATTCATGGGTATTTTATTTCCAAGGGAATCAATTTGAGTTTCTTCACTCTTGTTTCATATTGTTTTCTTTAAAAAATTGAGTACAGTTAAATCAAAGATATGGGTCATACTAAATTGATAATTATTTTGTTGGCCTCTTGTTGTGGTTGAGAATGGCCTCTTGTTGTGGTTGAGAATGGTGTGTGCCATAGTTCCGACATAGCTTTCGTCGAAGATATAAAATCCTATCAATATTGGGGGAATCTTTCTAGCCATACGGTCAAAGTGGATCCCATAACAATTGCTTAAAAAATAAAATAATATCTAAAAATTGTTGTCATTGAGAGATAATAGCAAAATTGACGTCATTAGCAACAAGTTACTACCACCGTCATATGATAGATGACATTGAACCTAATTTTAGCTGTAGAGGGACAACAATAAACTCTATACTTGAAGTAGAAGGATGACAATGAACATTTCCTTAGTACAAGGATGGTAATGAACAAAATATAAAAGTAGAGGGATGACAATTCACTTTAACCCAGCATTTTAGTCAATTTAGATTGATTATCTCTAATTCATTATCTCCTACTGTCCTCTTCTCTTCAATTTAAACCAATGTTTTCAATACTTTTCCACCCGTCCTCATCTCTCCACAGAATATTATCATTTCAATTCTTTTTCACAAATTTTCACCAATAAAACTTTGATTTTATTTTATTTAATGATGAATTCAACTATTATCCTCGTTATTCTTAATCTAGTTTGCTACTTCAATTGAAACTTGAATTTTGTCCCTTTTACACTAACGTCTTTGATTCATATTATCTTTTCTATTAATTTAAACTTGAATTTCAATAATTATTTTTTGAATTTATTTTTATAAATATATTTCTATTTAGATAAATATCAATACTTATCTTTATTAAATTTTGCTGCCATTAAGGTCCAAAAACTACAAAAAGACTTTAGTTGACCTAAAATATTTTTTAATGTTCATGTCACTTTTTATGATTATTTGAGTAATTTTTATTTTAAAATTTAAAAACTATTCAAAAAATTTTATTATTTAAATTCAAATTCATTTTCTTTGACTTTCAAGTATTCCAATCAATTTAGATTGATTATCTCTAATTCATTATCTCCTATTGTGCTCATCTCTTCAATTTAAATCAATGTTTTGAATTCCTTTCCACCTCCACCCTCATCTCTCTATAGAACATTATCATTTCAATTCTTTTTCACTAATTTTCACCAATAAAAATCAATTTTATTTTATTTTATGATGAATTCAGCCATTATTCTCATTGTTCTTAATCTCATCTATTAATTTAATTGAAACTTAAATTTTTGTTTCTTTTACACTAATTTTGGTTTATATTATCTTTTTTATTAATTTAAACTTGAATTTCAATAATTG